ACTCCTCAGAAGGAAGATGGGGCAATCTACTTCCGCAGAGATACTGCCTCGGAAACCCAAGGAGGGGTTGGTATGAGTTGAATCGACTCGATGGCAGTGAGCATCGTTTTTGGTTTGGTGGTACAGTGGTTAAGGCATTTGTGCTGCTGACCAAAAGGTCGGTGGTTTGAACTCACCAGCCACTCTGTAGAAGAAAGATGGGGCAGTCTGCTTCTGTAAAGACTTACAACTCTGGAAACCCAATGGGGGTTGCTATGAGTCAGGATCCACTTGATGGCAGTCAGTTTGGTTTCTGAGGAGATAGTCTGGTCAACAAATGGAACAGGAGGAAGAAATTACACTGAAGAGAATACATGATCTCCAATGATCCTGTTCACCCCACAGCAAGGTATCATGGCCTCCACTTTCTAGACAAGCAGTCCCATACTCAGGAGAAGATAGGAATGGCCTCCAGATGTTCCTGATTCCAGGCCCACACAGTTCCCGGCACTGGCCTGAGAGCTGGCATCCTACCAAGCTCCCCTGGACCAGCTGTTTAGGTGCATCTGGACTCTGGCTTTCGCATTTACATAACATGGAGGACTTCCAAGATCCTTCTCAACCAACTCTGGACTCTGAAGTGCCCTCCTGCTGAACTGTAATCTATCTGCATGTCTGTTTCCCACACTGGATGGTGCACAGCTTCTATTCACCTTGCTACCTCCATCAGGACCTGTGCACCGGGCGTACAAATGCTCAGTGTGCTGAATGTGTGCACAAATGACAGACTGTCACCATGGATACAAACATTAAGTTTGAAATAAAATGCTAAGAAAATCAGCTCAGGAGACAACAACTTAGAAACAGAACTTTACAGACATTATCAAATTCTCCATAGAGCTGGCCACCCCTCCTGACACTGAGCAGCTACAGGATGTAAGTCAGAATCACGGGAGGACTGAGGTTGCACGTCCAGACCTTCAGACCAGTCCTAAAAGCGGAGAGGTAAAATGAGTCCCGAACCAAAGAGCCACACTCTTGAAATGATCACAATTGAACGGAAAAATCCTTACTGAGTACTTTAAAAATACTGTGGGTTTTCCGTACTTTTCCTCCTCAAAAGTAATTAGAAAGAAACCAAGAAACAAAACGAAACTGAGAAAACCAAACGGAAAAGCTTAACATGGCCTAGAAGCACTCTGATAATAAGAATCTGCAATAAAAAAAACAGCAAACATTTCTTCTTTATTTTTCCCAGGGTGGAAATGCTGCAAATTGGAGCATTCTCGAAAAATGAGCAGGGAAGCAGCTCGCAGAATTCTGAATCAGCCGTGACATCAGGAAAACCACCACTTCAGCACACGAGTGGCATTTTGTGATCAAATTTATTTTTTGTTTAAATTTCATTTACTTTGTTTTACTGTAATTTACACAAGAGACTGCCAAGTAAACTAGATATTTTACATTCACCACACATTCCCTCAAATCTCCACAGTTGTTAGAAAAACATTAAAATCCATGCGTCGGGCTCTCGTTTCCACGTGCGCCCACGCTCCCAATGATGCTACAGATGCCAGCGAAGAGTTAAGTTCATTAAGAGGTCTAGACTCTGTATTTCACAAAATGAGCAATAATCCTCCTCGCACCAAACGTTTTACAGACAATGATTATGCTTCAACGGGACCTATCTTGCAACAGTGCCCAGAGAGTAAACACCAGCTTTCACCCTGAGTACACAGAGGACAAAGTACACAGTGGGCTTTGCTGCTGAGGATAACAGGCACCACAGTGTAGCAGCGATTCAAAACATCCCTGCCCAAGTAACTGCCATCACTTCAGTGGGAACACACGGTACACGTGGGAGAATGAGGAACAGGAGGGGTGGGCTGTCAGCAAATCAGATGACTAATGCAATTTGACTACAGGGGCTGGCGTGTCTTAGGAGGAATGAGAGGTTAAAGAAGACAGTCTGTGACCTGGAGGCTTCAACAGGATCATTCTACTCAAGCTTGCAGGACTGACAGGAGGAAAACTGGATCTGGACAGAGAAAGCTAATAAAAATCTCACCTAGCTATTGTTCCTTAAGAATGAAAGGAGAAGGCGACAGTGGCTTTTAAGCGGCAGCTGTGTAATGGTCACCCAGGATATGCTGCAGCGGGCGTCCTATCGAGAGCTCATCCAAAAGGCCCCTCCCATGGCCTCCTCCCAACGGGCAAGCCTCGTGCTGTCTTAGACGCTTCCACCTCTAAGGCAGCAGCATCTCCCCTTAAGTTCTATTTTCAACATGAAAAGAGTGAAACGTCACCACTGGATTTTGTTGCGTGAGCTGTGAGGGATCTAGACCATCTGCAAAACTTCCAAAGTAGAATTTCAGAGGACAGTCATTTCAGAAGCGAGACTCTGGACAAGGGCCATATGCCCGATTTTTCTACACAGCTTACAATGCTATTATCATGAACGTCTTAATCAATTTCCTTACCTAATAGGTGCCTGAAAACTGTAATAGTGTTTATTATAAATCACAAACCATCATCTCCATTTTTGCTAGGTTTGATGTAGAAAAATACTTGAAATTTAAAATACAAAAATGCAATAAAAACCAGAATTTTTTTTAAAAGGATTTTTCCTCCAGGGGAAGCAAGTAAAAATTGGCATGTAAATTTACTCCTTATTAGGCATTGTCCAATTTGGCTGTAAGATAATGATCATCCAGAAATAAATAGTTATAAATACATTCAGAGTTTACATTTCAGATTTACTGGGCTACCAAAAAATCGAGAATACATTTTTCTGTGGGAATCTGTTTGCTAATGGGCCTAAAATAACAATTTAAAAGAGACTGATGCAAAAGAACAGAAAAGTAACAAAAGGCTATACATATATATTGGTCCACAACTTGGCATTTATGAAACATACCAGCTAGTATTACAATGCAGTCAATTTGTCCATTAATGGTATTACTCTGATAATTATTAAAATCTGTTCCAGGTATATATATTGAAAATATTTTCTTTTGCATTCTTGCTGAAGATAGGTACAGTACTTTGGAGAAATTGTATTAATCCCTTCAGTATGTTTGTATGTACATATATATACACAAGTGTGTGTTCCTGTTCTGTAGCTCTACATGCATTTTATATACAGCTACAGATACACACACATACATATATACACACGTGGTTGAGAACCTGTGCATGTGTGTACATCATCACAAGCACACGTCTGGGAAACGTCAACACTGTAAGATACAGGTCAGATTCTTCTTCACTCATCACTGGCTGCACTTGTTCCCCTCACTTGACCTTGATTACGTAACTGTAAGAAAAGGGAAGGACAGTGCAATTTGTTAAAATACAAGCAGACATGAAGAAATGTTCAGTATGTCACACACATTCTCTAGAAAAAAAATATCTCAACGTAGGAAAACTCTCTGTAGAAAAGGTGCCCCCAATGACTGTATCTTAAAAGATTTCATCTCAAAGTCTTTAAGATTGTGGTCTCACTGATGGCGTAGTGTTTTGTTTCATCAAAGGGAACGATAAGCTACAAGCAGAAATGAGTCACAGAAATGTAGAAAAACTTAATAAAAGTAACAGTAACTTTACACTGAATTTAAAGAAAGGGCTTGAGAGGAATCTTGGGAGAGTTGATTCACTCTTATTTGGTACAACTACTTCTCTTGACTACCTAACCCTTCATTTATCCCTGTGTTCAATAATCACAGGGCAGGGAGCTCACGTAAGAGGGCAGCAAAGAACCACAGGGAACAAGGGAGTGTTACATCTTGTTCTTTGCTAATAAACATCTTAGTTCAATATCAACAAATGGTGACAGTGTGCTGTTCATTTCTGGTTCCTGACATTGGTTTCATTCAATATGAGGGGTAGGCTTCTTCCCTCTCTAGGAAAATCTCTTATCAGAGTATATAGATTTGTCTTATAGAAAATTTAAGACCATAAAAATATTTTATATTGTAAATTAAAACTAAAATGCATTTACACATACTAACGCTGATTGTAAGAATAACTGAAAATTCAACATGAAAGAAGACTTCCTGGTGTACAGAAAACATTTCAACTAAAATGGATTACTGAGGTTGGCCTTCATGGGATGGGATGAAGGATTTCCCTCAGAGTGATTTAATGTGCTTTTACATACTTCCTTAAATCACAGATGGTCCTACTGAGAAATAGGTCAATTAGCCAAGGCTTCAAACCAGTTCTTCCCAGTGCAGTCAAGGCCAACAAAGTGAAACCAGAACGGACCCAAATGTGCAAAATGGGGTGAAACAGAATGGTAACTGAATGGGAAAAATTATGGGTCAACACTCTCCTAGAAACTTAATCTCCCTCTTAGAAAGCGAAGACAGCATGTGCACTGCATAGCAACCCAATGGCAGAGCTGGACCCAACTGTGCCCGGCTCAAAAATGGTGGCCAACAGATCTGCTCTGAAGGTGTGTCGCTCTCCACAATCCTGGCAATAATCCAATATCCCACATCAGGCTCCTGAAAGGGCTCACTACACCTCTTCCGACACTCCCATTCCAGGACTTCGACCTGTAATTTTTCTCATCCTGCTTCACCTAGTATTTTAAAATAGGGTCTGTTCCGATTTTGCTTCACAGGTCATGAATGAACTGGTCCGAACCAGTCTGAAGCCCTGCAATGAACTGGCTATCGAGGAAGAACCTGCTGGTGTCTAAGATAATGCTACATGATGAGTAAGTGCACTTGGCAGCTAGTTTCTAAACCAGAATGCTAGTAACTAGCCTGCGATTACTAATTCAACCTATTTCACAGATAACTTCTCACACAACAATAACTCAAGTGTTTACCTTCAATTTCTATCATATGTATCTTTTAAATTCTAAAAATAAAACATTTTACACTTAGTTACAATCTCTGCTCAGCAAATTAACTACCCATCCATCACCAGACCGGTATTGGTTTTAAACATTCTCTTTACCCAGTGCTTCACTTACACAGTTTGATATTGTCTCTGACCCTACAGGGACTCATCTAGACATCAGCAGCCGACGTGCCTCGGACGGAACCCTTCTTACGCATCTAAATGTAAAATAAAATCATGAGCTGCTGAAATCACAGACTCTATATAGGGGTTAGTAAGCAAGGGGAAAAAAATCTAAAAGAGATTGTGAAGTGATGGCTGCTTGTCTATAACCATATCCATACTGGGAACGAAGTTCCAAGGCCCCAGAGTGTAAAGACAATCTTGCAACGCTTTTTCTTGCATAACATGAGAAATACTTCTTGAATCTGAGAAACAAGAGCCTGAGACTGATGATATGAAATCATCAAAGACACCAAAGTAGTAAATGAACTGCTCCCCATATGATGGGAGGAGAGGGCCCAATGGGCTTGTCCTTCTTTTCATAGTTCTTAGACTGGGGGAGCCATGATGTGTGGTCCTCTCACTGCTTCTACAACCAGGGCCTCTCAGAGGAGTTCTTCAGAGAAAGTTTACTGAAAAGAGGTGAGGATGAAAGGAAGAGTAAGACACAACATAGGACACGAGGAAGGACACGAGGCAGCATCAGAAAGGACAGGGAGAGAGATGCCAAGACACGTGGGGCTCTCCAAGGAACCAGGAAGCAGAAGCTGAAGAGACGAGGACCTTCCTCCAGAAGACAGCCAACCTTACCCTAGAGCCAGCACTCGGAACCCAGCCCTCCCCTAGAGCCAGCACTCGGAACCCAGCCCTCCCCTAGAGCCAGCACTCGGAACCCAGCCTTCCCCCAGAGCCAGCACTCGGAACCCAGCCTTCTAGTCTCCTAAACTGTGAGAAGATAAATTTCGTTTTGTTAAAGCTGCCCACTTACAGTATTTGTCCTCGTAGCACTAGATAACTAAGATACTATTCCTTCTCTTTAGAACAAAAAACCCACTGAAAAGAAATATTGATAAAGGAGAACTGCAATGCATTAAATTGCACCTATCACTAGGTGTTGGAGGAACAGGATCTCAAGAAGAGGTGAAGAGGCAGTCTTGGTGGTGAAGACGACTTAGGTACTTTCCAGGCAGGAGTTTGGTCTGCAGGCATGATGCTGCCCAGAATCTGAGTATGTTCACAAACCGAAGCAATTCAATGGGAAATTAATGACCCAGAGCAAAATAACCTAATGAGGACCAGCACGTAACACCAGAACTTTCTTAAAATTCTCTGAAACATTTAACAAAGAAATGGCCATCTATCCTTACCCTGAACTGGTAACAGAGTTCTACCAACGTCGTGAGGGCATTAGTCCCTTTATGCCATGTAGGTACAGTATCTTCTAATAAACTGGTTTCTGGGAAATAACTTGTCTATTTCATCCCGTCTTATTGTATGCAGCTCCTAACTCATGAATAACTGACTTGTATGGAGAAGCAGCTGAGCCTTCAAGGCCCACTGCCAGCAGTGGGAGCAAGAGTTACTACCTCCACATCAAGAGTCCCTTCGTGTTGACACTGAGATTGTTCTGTGCTTAGGGATCGGGAGGCTGCAAACTGTGAGGGAAGGAGAGGTCTCAGTCGAGTTCTGTCCCAGAGCTTTAGAGGCAGCCGGGGCTCAGAGCCTTGCTACAACTAGCAAGGGCTACATTCCCTCCAGGTCAGCAGGGATGCTCTTCCTCAGCTTATGGACAGTTTCCCAGCCTACAGACCAGAACCACAAGAAGCGCTCCTTCCTGAAGTCCAACCAAGACTCTTGTTTTCTGATGGGTTTGGTAAATCCTTTCTGGGAATGCCAGCCTGTACCTGGAGCTTAGTGCAAACGAGTGTGATCATGCTGCTGTCTTCTCAATGTCCGGTTGAGACCAGCTAGCTGCTCTGGGGGCCGAAGCACTTGGAGGGAGGGAAAAAGGCAAGGCTGGGGAAAGAGGATTAAAGCTAGGGAGGGAAGGGGTGCGCCTCGGAGTCCAGTCGCCGGCTCCTGAGCAAAGGGAACCAGGAGTGGAAAAGAAGGTAGGAGACACCCACGATATACTCTTGACTGTTTAAATATTTTGCCTGGGGGCTGTCTGAAAACAAGGCAGGGGAAGAGAGTTTCCAAGCTCCCCACTACCGAGCTCCAGAGCTCAGAGTCATAAGATTAGTATGAGAAACTGGGTCAAAGAGGCTTCTATCGGCTGGCCTAGAAATCAAACCTCTATTTAGAATGCTGTTTCTGTGGGAAAGATATGTTCCAAATTTCAAACAATCAACTTGAGAGTTTTTGGAACAAAATCCATTCATGAGTTGGAGACTGCCTACAGTTTACTTTATGTGTAAGATAAGGTTAAAACATTTTATTGCCTTATAAAGAAAGTATGTCCTAGTCCTCTCAGAAGGTTTCTATAAAACTAATTAGAAGCAGATCTGCTGTAATCACCAAAAGTAAGCAATCTTAAACACAGATTCATTACGAAGCGACGTGCCAGAGAGAGAGATTTCCTTCTGTGCCAAAGAGCCTGACTGGCTGCCATGCTCCTGTGATGACATGGAGCTCCTGCCGCACACACGGGCATTCGTCAGACACTTGTGCCTGCAGGGCTTCCAACACTGGGGCTGCTGGCAGGACTTGCGATGACTGCATGGAAACCGCTATCCCGTCCTGCACATTCCTCGGTTCAGCTCCCCAGTGGGGTTTTACTGCCAACTAAAGAGATGCGGGGCCCAGGGCAAAAGCAAAACCAGGCATGCGTAAGACTAAGTCAGGGAAGAATGCGGCCCTGGGAGAGAGACGGGAGGAGCCGGAGCACACTCGCTGCAGGGCCTGCTCACTGGGGTCGCAAGGAGCCGGGGGGTGCTTTAACTGAAATACGGCGTGCTGACGTCTGCCCAAGGATCATCTGAACTGCCTAAAAAGCTGGTGAAGAAATAAAGATTCATCACTAATGGGGGGAAGGACAAGGCATTTTTAGAATCCATGATGATAGCTCTAACCCCACTTTTTCTACAGAAGAAGGAAAAAAGACTGAGAGAACCCAGGAAGTATGAACCCCCCAAACCAGGCAAAGATAGTCTGGTCTGTTATAGTGAGTATCTATCCATAAAAGCACTGAGTGAGGTAACATCACAGAGAAAGAAAGCATAAAAAATAATACAAACCATGGGGCATCGTACAGTGAACAAGCTCTAGATCAAGGAAGCTCTAGTCCATCTTCACAAAAGATGCTCAACAAAGAAACAATCAGAAATCAGGAGATTAGTGTCTAAAAAACTTGATTTGGATGAGGATAAATAGATTAGTGAATGGCTTTTAACAATACTTGTCTTAATTCTAAGCCTACATTTACTAAGCAAGTAAACAGTTTTAGGAAAATTATTAAATCCCCATAGAGTAGGATGTCTTACGGTTTCTAGTTCTTTCTGAGTTTCGTCTTCCATTCTCCTAATGTCTTCCATCGTCAGATCAATCCACTTGTCAATCCAACAAAAAAGCTGGCGGTGAAAGTTTGTAAATATCCTTTTTTCTTGCTTTTGAAACAAAGAAGAAAAGTAGTATAAGATCACAAAAACCTAAGCTTAACAACTGATTACATTAACTTCAGTGAAAGTTAGCCTATGTCTCAAGAAATTTATATATACTTGGTTTGAAAAGACCACTCTACTATCAGTAAAAATTTTACTTCCATCCTTTTATCATTTTGTCCAATAAAGTAATAAGAAGAATTTCCCTCTGAAATGTGAAACAACATTATCTGGCAAAGATAGCATGTTGAGTAGAAACTAAAGAACTATAGTGAACACATTCAGATCTAACATGAATTCTTGCTAGACCTGCATTTATTTTCACCTTCTTCTAAATGTCAGTGACCAAAGGTTAACATAACAACTCTACAATTCCAAGGAATCCTGTTGATGCAATTCCAGAAAATATTGTTGAGGTGGAATACAACAATCACTCAAAGAAAAGAGCCCTGGGGTCTTTGAAATCGGATGTTTTTGTTAAATTAAAAATTATTACTTACTCTTTTCTCCATTATTTTTTTCTACTCTACATGTTACTGCCACTATACATAATCACATTTACAACAAGTGGTTTTAATTGCTAGGTTATTTCATTTTACTAAACTTTCCCAAGAAGAGAGAAAGTACACACAACAGTGAGTACTTCTGGACAATCTTGAACTTTCAATTTTTTTTCCATGAACAGAAGGCACTTCATCAATTACATGTGTGACTTCTATTGATCAGAACTGGATTAAGAATCTATTGTTATGATCCAAGAAGAAGAAAAGAAGCCAATATTTACAGAGTGCCAACACTCTGGGCCAACTGCAAGCAGGCCCAAGGACAACCAAAGTTCCCAGCACTGTAAGATCATTTTTCTCCTTTTTAAATTGTGGTCAAATGCGTGTAACACAAAGCTTGCTGTTGTGACCTTCTAAGTGCATCATCATTCAGTGACCTTGTCTCTGCCATGTTATGCGATCACTATCCATTTTCAAAAATTTTTATACCACCCCAAAAAGATCATCTTCTTCTTAAACAGTGATGCAGCTGCAGTTTGAAAACAGAAACGTTATGGCGAAACTCAAGACACAACTGGTTGTGGGGATCAGAGACAAAACGGGGGTTTCTTAATGATAATGGAATAAACGTCCATCTGCAGAAAAGGAAACACCAGAGAAACTGTGTGGAGTCCTGTGTATTTACAACCATGTGCTGCTACACAAGTCCAACTCTCCCTTCCTTCTAGATCCGAATGCCCGTGTTACTTTCACTTGAATAAAGACAACATGAAAAAGAACAATCAGAATTTGGACCCTCAGATTATGTAGCTATTCTCAGTCCAAGTCTTTAGAGATGACAACCTACATGAAAATGCAAGGTGTGTGCCATAACACGTTGTGTGTGTGTGTGTGTGTGTGTGTAAGGAGTCCCTCGGCAGGCAAGCCCTGCCCTCTTCCTCCAGCCAGTGTGCTGGGACACCAGATTCCCTGGGGAACTTGCTATAGACGGAAGGAGTCCTCTACAGAAGAGCTGGGAAAACCAACCAAAAGACTGCCAGGCTCTTCCTCAAGGAAAGCCCCCTTAATGCCCCTGCTGACATCTGTCTGCCACGTCCAAGGTGAAAAAGAAGGGCAAGGAGGAATTAAGTAGGGAGAACAGAAGGTGGTAGAGCTCTCACTATCTCAAATCTTAATCTAAACTGAAGCCCCCATGCTTCGAGCAGGTCTTACCTTCTGAATGAAGTTTTCTACTTTGCTCTGTAGTCCCCACCACCTGAATTTGATGGTCACCAGCTTATAGGCACACATCCGAGGACCATCTGGGTTGTTTGCCAGCTCCTTCTACACGAGGTAAATTGAAAAGGAGAAATCGTGACTTAAATATTTACGTTTTGATTAAAATTGACTGCTATGTAATGACATCATAGAAACACATGATGAAAATTACCATCTCAGATACGTTTAATTCAGGTATTTGGAAAATCTAAACCATTTTTGCAAAAGCATCAGCATTCCCCTGCTGCAAACCCTCCTTCCACAGATGAAGTTATTTCCTAGCTCTGAAGTTTAATAGACACATTGCTCTGCCTCAAATTACACTATTCAGATTTCTTATTATATACCAAATACTGTTCACATCATATCAACAGTGAGCCTTTAATATGTAAGGACCCTCGTAATGC